GTGCAAGGCAGTGGACTCACTGAGGGCTGACCACGGTCACACATTTGCACACAGATAAACCAGTGAAGGAGCGAGCGGTGAGACAGACCATGCAGGCCCCAGTGGCAGGAAGAGGCAGATGGGACGCTATTGGCCCTTTCTGACCCCGCCCCCACACACAGCATCACAAACCAGTGACCTGGGGGGCCCCACCCTGGTGAACACTTAAGGTTCCACTCCTCATACATAACAGGCATGAACAGATCAAAACATGGCTCAAGAACTACTCAGAGCCCCAGAGCTGATAAATCTAAGCTATGAAGAAATAGCCAAACTTTCGTGTGCACAGTTCAAAACACTGGTGATCAGGATGCTCACAGAACTGGTTGATTTTACTCACAAATTAGAGGAACATATGAAGGCTAAACTAATTGAAATGAAGGGAAACACACAGGAAACCAATAGTAATGGAAAGGAAACTGGGACTTAAATCAAAGGAGTGGACCAGAAAAAGGAAAAAAATGACCAAACAGAAAAGGATGAAGAAATAAGAATTCCAAAAACTGAGGAGAGGCTTAGGAACCTCCAGGACATCTTTAAACATTCCAACATCCACATTATAGGGGTACCAGAAGGGGAAGAGGAACAGCCACCAGTGGGAAACTTATTTGAACAAATAATAAAGGAGAACTTCCCCAATCTGCCAAAGGAAATAGACTTCCAGAAAATCCAGGAAGCTCAGAGAGTCCCAAAGAAGTTGGACCCAAGAAGGAACACACCAAGGCACATCATCATTACATTAGCCAAGATTAAAATGAAGGAGAGAATTTTAGAAGCAGCAAGAGATAAGGGGACAGTCACCTACAAAGGAGTTCCCATCAGACTGTCAGTGGATTTCTGAAAAGAGACCTTACAGGCAAGAAGGGGCTGGAAAGAAGTATTCCCAGTCATGAAAGGCAAGTATCTACATCCAAGATTGCTCTATCCGGCAAAGCTTTCATTTAAAATGGAAGGGCAGATAAAGAGCTTCTCAGATAAGGTCAAGTTCAAGGAGTTCATCATCACCAAGCCCTTATTATATGAAATGTTAAAGGGACTTACCTAAGAAAAAGAAGATAAAAAAGATGAACAGTGAAAGGACAGCAAAACTCACAGTTATTAATAACCACACCTAAAATAAAAGCAAACTAAGAGGATAGCTAGATCAGGAGCAGAAACACAGAAATGAAGATCACATGGAGGGTTAGCAACAGGGGAGTGGGAGAAGGGGAAGGGGGGAGAAGGTACAGAAAATAAGTAGCATAGACGGTAGGTAGAAAATAGATAGGGGAGGGCAAGATTAGTAGGGGAGATACAGAATCTAAAGAACTTGAGACACATGGTCATATACTAAAGGGGGGGAATGGTGGGGGAGGGGTGTGCAGGGTGGAGGGGAATGAAGGGGGAAATAGAACAACTGTAATGGCATAATCAATAAAAATATTTTTTAAATAAAGAAAAGAAAATACACAGGGGGAGGGCAAGAATAGCATGGGAAATATAAAATTTAAAGAACTTGTGACACACGGACATGAACAAAGGGGGGGAATGGTGGGGGAGGGAGTCACAGGGTGGAGGAGAATGAAGGGGGAAAATAGGACAACTGTAATGGCATAATCAATAAACTATATGTTTAAAAAATTTTTTAAAAAGAAAAACAAACAAAAAAAACAAGAATGAGACTTACAGTCCTGGCTAGTGTAGCTCAGTGGATTGAGTGCCAGCCTACGAACCAAAAGGTCACTGGTTTGATTCCCAGTCAGGGCACATGCCTGGGTTGTGGGCCAGGTCCCCAAGAGGGGATGTGTGAGAGGCAACCACACACTGATGTTTCTCTCCCTCTTTTTCTCCTTCCCTTCATCCATCTCTAAAAATAAATAAATAAAATATTTAAAACAACAACAAAAAAGAATGAGGCTTACAAAGGAAGACTCTCAGCTTTGGAGCTGTACTGACAGATTGTCAGGACCATTGCTGTGCTGTGTCAGGACGCATCAGCCCCGCAGCACCTGCTCTCTGACCCAGATGGACACTCTCCATTTCACGGGGCCTGAACATCTCTAGCAATGAAATTATGATAAAGAATATGACCTATATTCTACTTTATATATTAGAAGAACATAAAAAGGATTAAAGCAAATATGCAATTATCAAATTCAGACAAAGAAGACTTGGTAAATTGAAACTTGCTTGTGAAAACGTGAGTAGACAAAAGTGAGAGAGAAACAGGTGTTGGACAGTTCCATCAGGCAGGCTGGCTGATGTGCTCCCATGATAACAATAGCAAGCAACATATAAGGGCACAAATGTTGATACTCCCTTATCTTCTACAGGGAAGGAAGGAGGGAGGGAGGAAGGAAGGAAAAATAAGAAAAGCAAATACTGAAGCTCATCAAATGCCAAATGGTGTTTATAATAGACATCAAAATGATATAGAAGTCAAAACTAAGATTTTTAGAGACTGAAACCAGAAGGCCTTGCAGCCACACTGCCAATTCTGGATCTTAACTGTGCAGAACCCAGAACCATCAAGTCTCTTTCCCAGTTTCCTGATCTGGAAATTAAGGGTAACTTACTGTTATTGGAATCCCCTCCCTCAATAGTCTGCATGCCCTCCGAGGGTCCCACATGGCTCAGGAAGGCTGAGATTGTTCTGGTTCACAGGTCATTAGGAGACTTTTTGACATCAAGATCTGGCTGCGTGCCATGGAAATGTTAAATTCTGTTCCAAGAATCACTTAGAAAAGAATACTGTCACAGAGATTGCATATGTCCTAATTTTATATTATCTTCTCAAGTCTTCACCCTGCTCTCCTAATCAAAACCAAGCTACACTGCACTGTGAAGAGATCAAAGGGGCAGTGTGTGTTCAGCTTTGCAGGGCCTTATCTCCTTGGCAATCAATCCATACAGTTAAAGAGTCATTGTATATAACCACTCCCCACACCCCCAGTCTCAAAATGCTCTGAATTTGTGTAGATTCTCCCAGTGCTCTAAATTGTGGACCTTGGAATCCTGACTGGGTCCTTTCCAAAGAGCCATCATAATGAAGAATATAGGAGAAAATAATCCAAAGCATGTGAGAGCTTCAATCAGAAACTTTTAATTGCTGACATTCATCTTGAGCCTTGGTTAGGAAAGAGGAAGAGAGGAAGATTACCTTCCCACCACTTTGAGTATAAAACCTCCTTATGAGGCTTTTTTATTAACATTAACATCAGACCTACATATTAAATAATGGAGGTTTTAAAAAACCTGAAAACTATTACAGACTGGTACCACCACTATGGAAAGCAGCATGGGATTTTCTCAGAAAACTAAAAATGAATCTGCCTTTTGACCCAGCAATTCTACTGCTAGGATTACATCCTAACAACCCTGAAACACCAATCCAAAATACACCCCAATATTCATAGCAGCACAACTGACAATAGCCAAGTGCTGGAAGCAACCTAGGTGCCCATCAGTAAATGAATGGATCCAAAGACTATGGTATATTTACACAATGGAATTCTATGCAGCAGAAAGAAAGAAAGAAGGTGCCCCTACCCTTTGCAACAGCATGAATGGAACTGGAGAGCATTATACTGAGTGAAATAAGCCAGGCAGTGAAAGACAAATACCATATGATCTCACCTTTAACAGGAACCTAAACAACAAAACAAATAAGCAAGCAAAATATAACCAAATACACTGAAATAGAGAACAGGCTGACAGTGACCAGAGGGGAGAGGGGAAAGAATTTCAGGGGGAAAAGGGGAAGGGTTTACAGGAACAAATATAGAGGACACATGGACAAAAACTAAGGGGGGTGGAAATGGGAGGGAGGTGGGGAGCACTGTGGGGGGGGTTGGGCTGGGCTGCAAATAAAAGGAAGAAAACTGTACTTGAACAACAATTAAAATATATTTAATAAATAAATAAATAAATAAAAACCCTGAAAACTCTTACATTTATTAAATTATTAAGTTACATTAGTTAGAAAACATTAGAAAATAGTCCGTAATAAAGAATAATGTAATATTTCTATAATTTCTAGCCAGGTACAATATACACAAATCCTGCTTTCTAGCTCTAGTAGAAAATAAAGTTCTTCAGAGAAAATAGTTGAAAATATAGTGAGCTCTTCATCCACAAAAAAGAATATATTATTTATATTCAATCAGAATGATGTTTGATCAAGTCCTCAATGTAAATATAACTGCAGAGAAAATATTCAATCTAAGAGAAACAAATGGTTTTCAAGCCCATTTGAAAACTCATATCTTTACAAAAAAATTTTGTAATTTCTTAGTGTAGATCAGTGTAGAATCCAAACCAACTCCAGTATCATAGGAAGACTACATTGTGATCAAGTTAAATTTATTCAGGAAATGCAATATAACTCACCGTATTCACAGGATAAAGGAGAAAAAAATCAATAATCATCTTAATAGAATTGTAGAAAACATCATTTGACAAAATTCAACATTATTTATGGTAAAAAGAAGAAAAAACTTCAGCGAACTAGAAATACAATTTCCTTAATCTGATATAAAGTAGCTACAAAACTAGGAAACAAACAAAAAGCCTACTGTAAACATTCACACTTAATGGTGAAATAAGGAAGCTTTTCCCTGTAAGACTGGTAATGCGAAAAGGAAATTCACTATCACTGCTTATATTTAACACTGTCAAGGAGATTCTAGCAGTGATATAAAGAAAAAAAAAAGAAAAAAGGAGATGAAGAAAAAAGGAAGAAAGGGAGGGTGGAGGAAAACAGGAGGAGAAATGAAAAAAACAACTGCCATCACTATTTGCAGATGCTTTGTGCAGCTAAAAATATCCAAAGGAATCTGCAGCTATTGTTGTAATTCATAAGTGAACTTAGCAAGTTTCCTAGATAAAACAGAAATGTAAAAAATAATGGTAATAATTCTATGTACAAGCAAATAAATAAAAAGTAATATTTTAAATGATATCTGCATTTAAAAAGAAAACTGAAACCAACCAATGAGTCTGCTTACGTGAATGTGTTTCTGCAGAAATTTAGAGAAAGCTGGCAATAGTAGAGCCATGTTTTGAGACATTGAAATTCAGGCATTGAAATTATTAAGGTCCCTGAAAATGGCTATAAGAAAAAAAGAAAAAATTAAACACCTAGGAATAAATCTAATAAAAAATATACATAACCTCTGCATAGAAAACTATAAAACTTAGACTGAATGGGTTAATGACTTAACTAGTTGTCTCCAAACCCCAGCAGTTTGTTTTTAAATCACAGAAATTATAACCGATTCAAAATTTTATATGGAAATGCTAAGGCTAAGAACAGTCAAGACGGTCTTAAAGAAGATCAAAATTAGAGGAGTTATACTACTGGATGTCAAGACTTACACAAAGCTATGGTAACTGAGACAAAAGAGACACACAGACACTGCGACAGAGGAGTCCAGAAAGAGTCCCGCGGTTTTATGGACAATTAATTTCTATCAAGGCTGGCACTGCATATCAGTGGGCAAAATTGATTTTCAATAATGGTGATGGGCAAATTGGATATTCTTTTCTTTCTTTTTTTGAGAATTTTTATGAGAGCGTATTTGAGCCAAAGAGTAAGATCTCAAATGCTTCACAGAATAACAGTTTCGCAGCTTCTTTTATGCATTTGAAATTCAGGACGGAACACAAGGTTGGAAGAAGAAAGGCAGGAATTGGATTACAGGACAGTTAACGAGATTATATTCTCTCTTGAGGGTTATAAATATCCCCTTCGAGGGATATTACTTCTGGTATTTCAAAGGTGTGTGAACCCAGGTGCACAAGGACAACAAACAGAGCAGCTTAAAACCTTCACTAAAGAAGTTATAGGCCTAGGGCATGACTAGCCACCATGACCTGCCCAGTTAGAAATTTATGATCAGATCACTCTGTGAGGTTACTTTCCATAGAGCACACTTTTTCATCCACAGTTCCCCCTTTTGGTCATAGATCAATTCAAAGGATGCATGGATGACCAACCTTTTGGTTGGATACACTAGGAAGGCTCATAGGCTAGGAAGGCAGACTGGATACTCTTATGAGGGGTGGAGGGGCAACCTGACCCCTTTCTCACATCACAGACAAGAATGAGTTCCAGGTAGATTTTAGATCTAAGTATAAATGTTAAAATGACAGCAATAGATGATATGTAAGATACTAGTTTCATAAACTTGGAGTAGGGAAAGATTTCTGAAATAGTATACAAAAAGCATTTAACGGATAATTGGGCCATATTAAAATTAGAATTTATTTTCAGTAAGAATATACCATCAACACATTTAAATGAAAAGCATATAGTAGAAAAATAGTTTAATATATAACAACAAAAAACTCATATTTAACATACATAAATAACATCTGCAAGTCAAAAAGGCAGACAATCCAGTAGAAAATTAAGAAAAATACATAAAGAGATTCTTTTTAAATGAGGATATTTGAAATGTCAACAAACATTAGTAAAAGTGTTCAACTTCACTTAGTCATCAGGAAAAAAGCAAATTTAAAAACTGGTGTGACATCATGATACCCCCCAATACGGCCAAAGTAAAAACACATTGTAATGCAAAGGGCCGTGAAGAATGTGAAGCAACTGGAATGCTTACATGCTGCTGGTGTGATTATATAAAACTCAAAAGCAGGCAAAACCCACCTACAATGTTACAAATCAGATATGATTGACTCTGGAGAGAGAATGGTGGGGTAAATACTGGGAAAGAACCCAGGTGGGCAGGGTGGGGACCTTGGAGGTGCAGTTCTAATCCTGGAATCATATGGAATTACTTGATCTACAAGATAATCACTTTGTGATCGCCCATCAAGCTTGCACTTAAGACTTGTGCATTCATCTCCCTATATACATATACTTGAATTATTAAAAGTTTATTTAAAGTGAGTCAAGTATTAAGAATTAGAGGACTGTTGTCAACAAAATTATTCAGACTATGGTAATTACCAGAGGGAGAGGAGGTCGAGGGGAGGTAGAACAGGATTTATAGGGGATATGGTGATGGAAGGAGACTTGGCTTGGGGTGGTGAACACATAACACAATATATAGATGAGGTATTATAGAATTGTACCCCTGAAATGTATATAATATTACCAACCAATATCACCTCAATAAATTCAATAAAAATTTCTAAAAATTAGTTATGTAGGCTAATAACATGAATATCCCGAAAATCTTACAATCCTAAAATACCTTTTGAATATTAGCACAATACTCCTTGGTTTATCAATTCCTTTATAAACTTATTCTAATATCCCATGACCAAGGATTCCAGGTGCTGTTTTGCCTGTAACAAAGCTAAGAAATCTGGCAACTATAGACTTATGAAGTTTCTAGTGCTGTTCCTCAAATGCTTCTCCAGACCTTAAGCAGTTGAGACAACAGGTAGAGGAGAGAAAACACAAGCACCATTAGATCTCAGCATGGGAAGAAATCCTAGAAGTCATTAGGCTAACCTCGTTCTCCACACAGGAGACATCCCGCAGCACTGTGGCAGGCAGTCGCTTAGCCTCTGCCTAAACATCTCCAAGGTCAGGAAGCAAGGGCAGCCTATTCCCTGGATGAAGAACTCTCCAAGTCTGCAAATGAGTCCATGAAAAGCTCCCAGTCATACCCTTTGGATATGAAAGAACAAACACTCTCCAAATAATCGATTTTAAATACGTGAAACAGATATCACATTTCCCCAGGTAGTTTCTCTTTTTCACACTACACATCCTCAGCTCTTTCAACTCTTCTCATACTAAATTAGAGACTGTCACATGGAGAGAATAACGTTTTGTTTTTTTAGTTCCTTACATGTCTTTGGAAGCAATCGGATTCAGTTTGCCAGAGATTCAGGTAAGGATAAAATCTACCTATGAGAGTTGACCATGGCCAAGAGCAATTTTGTGTATAAGCAGAGCATGATTCTACATAATTTGAGGGACAGAGAAATTTTCTGTGACTAAAATATTTCCTCCATTCACCTACCTTGAAACCTGAAATTTTTATATGAATTGCAACTTTGTGTTAAGGCATCAAAGATTATTATGAAAAAAATGTTATGGTATAATTAAATGCAAACATCAGAGAAGAAGTAGTTCTTGAGACTAGCTGAAGGCTGAGGAAATAGATCATGGGGTGGGTGCACTAGAGAATCATGAAAAGGTCAGAAAGTGCCTGGAAAATGAGCCAAACTAACAACAACGAACATAGGGTACCAGAGTGTGGACCACCTAAGAACTTGAACTAATGAAGATATAAATACATAAAAAGAAAATGAAAGTGAAAGTGGGGAAAGAAATGAAGAGTTTGCTGAGCAGCTTTTCTCACAAGCGTAGACGAGCGATCTTCCATCAGGACCTCTGGGAACCGGTGGGCAGCCCAGAAGCAGGAGCAGAGACCTCTCTTGTGTGCATGCGCACTCTCTCTCGATCCTTATCCCCCATCCTTTCCTTCTCGTCACTATGCAGTTGGCCCACCAGGAACCATCTGGCCAGTGAGATGTGCAATTCCCCAGCTTCCCTGCCAGTGACAGGTAAATGGGTAGATCACACCAGCCCTAATCTCTGTCTAGAGGCCCTAGAGGGCAGGGACATAGGAAGCCCCATTTGAGCATCTGATCTCAGTCATATCCTTCCGCACCGTTCAGTCAAATGCATCAGGACTGTATGGGGGAGGGAACAATTATCAGGCAATTAATAAAGCTGCATTTCAAACCCATATGGCCCATATGTTCCTAACTGTGTTAACTCCAATACATAGCAAAGGTGGGTGACTGGTACCTTTAACTTACAATTGTAGCATACTGACAAGCAAGAAGAGTTCTCTTACAAGTTCTTCCCTCCATAAACATTTAAGTAAAACTTTTATGGGGACACTGCTTAGAAACCAAAGAAGAGACTTCATAAGGTGGACATTTCAGCCTCTATGCAATTGGTTTCATAGAAAATATATGTAAATAGAGAATGCCTAAAATGTTTGTGAGGAAGTAAAGGATACACAGATTCATTCACACTATAAGGAAATAGCAGGGTCAGGAGGAAAACACAGTATCTGCTCTTGGGCTCAAGTTTTTCTACAGTGTGCTTCTGCCTTGCAGACCACTGGGATGAGCCCCCTCAGCCACACCACGAGTGGGGTGGTGTGCACCTCAGGGTCTCTGAATGGAGTCGTGTGAGAAACCATTCATCCTAATCTGTTTACATGTAAATGCAGAGAAACAATAAATCTATTCTGTTCACCCCACAAATCCTTTGGTTTGTCACCTTCTGGGACCGTATGCAATGAATTAAATTAAGAGCAATTTTTGTTTAATGGTTGATTTAGAATTTATTTTAATCAACCAAGGCTTTCTTCAGCCAGCTCCACTCTTAAAAAGACAATTACACTTCAAGATGGGCAATATTAACCATATCCTTTAGGTAATAGATTTTGAACTTTGTAACACTTCTAGCTGCTTCTTCCTATTTAAAAACATTCAGCTCAAAGACTATGAAGTTAAGTAGAAATGGCAATTACCCATCTTCTATTCACTGAAAGCTTTTGAAACCTGAAAAGTAATGAGAATTACTTTTCCTCTTCTTTTTAAAGAGAAGAAAAAAAGAAAATTGGACCACAAAAGTCTAGAATTTTCTAGAAAAGACATTCAAAATCATTTTGTCACAACCCAGAGGACAATGGCCAGAATACATTATAACAAGTGCTTATCATGCATTTCGTCTGTATTTTTTTTAATCCTTGCAACAACCTGAATTGAAGCTCAGAGAGGTTACATTACTCTTCTGAAGACAAACAGATGGTAAGTGGAAGAGGTTGAGGTCTGAACCCCAGACTGTCTTGTTCCATAGCCTGCATTCCTAACTCCCATGCATCTCACCCCTGTCCTTCCTATCTTAAAAGTCTTCTCCAGTTGCTCTCTGTCACATCACCCTGTCCCTTCATGAAACTTTTGATCAGTTATAATTATCTTGCTTAGTATCTTGTTTGTGTTCCATATTCTTCTGCCGCAATAAATAAAAGTTCCCTGAAGAAAAGGATGTTACCAAGTTCACCGTTACTCCCAGGTCCTAGCACATAATAGTCACTCAGTCAAATGTTTGTGGATTTAAT